GGTTTGGGAGCGGTTGGCTGCAGCGTGTTCTGTACGTCCGACACCACCACTCGAACCACCTCCCTCCCTCCCCTCCCTCCCTCTCTCCCTCCCTCCCTCCCTCCCCCTCCCCCAGGCCCCTGTGTGAGCTCCTACCTGTGACGAGGGGTTTGGGAGCGGTTGGCTGCAGCGTGTTCTGTACGTCCGACAGCCACCATGAACCACCTCCCTCCCTCCCCCTCCCTCCCTCTCTCCCCTCCCTCCCTCCTCCCCCCTCCCCCAGGCCCCGTCTGAGCTCCTACCTGTGACGAGGGTTTGGGAGCGGTTGGCTGCAGCGTGTTCTGTACGTCCGACAGCACCATGAAGTGAGAGGTCGGGGGCGGGCCCATGGGGGCGGGCCGACACTCCGCATCCACCTGGTAGTTGATCAGGCCCCACTGCTCCAAGAACGCGTGCACCCTGCAAGACGAAGAGAGAGAGAGAGAGAGAGAGATAAGATTAAGGTAAAAACAAAATTTAAAAAAAATTATAATTAAAATTAAAATTAAAGATAAAGTGGGGGAACTTTCATGGTGCGCACGCATCGTCGGGAACAAAATTAATCTTAATGCTAGACCATGGTTCATACAGGACTGAAAATTTTTCCAAGGACCTTTCAAGGACATTTTATCAGAAATTCAAGGACATTTTATCGGACATTTTATTGGAATTCATACACAGAACAAAACATACCTGGATTAATTTAATAACCCCACTTTTAATCACTGTCACCTCTAAAACTTACCTGGATCACATTAATAAACCCTTCTAAACACTGTCACTTCTACAACATACCTTGATTTACTGACTGATTTTACTGACTTACTGTAATTTGCGATCATCATTTAACTGTCTATTTTTATGGCAATTTTTATGGAGGTTTGCACATTATTGATGGTACAAAATTTCTTTTTATTACAGGCAAGGATTCTTTTTAAAAATATCGCCATTTTGGTTTTCGAATATTGCGCAAATAAAAACAATAAAATATTCCAGTCAAATTACTGTAACGAAGAATCTAAAACACAATATTACACGTATATAGGTATGATTGTAGAGTTGTTGACCAGATAGACGAAATAAACGTAATAGGACGTTGTCATCTCTCCCATAGGAGTAACAACTGTTTTGGGGCTAGCCTTACACATTCACATACCAAAATTTAACAAAATCGAATGAATTTAGATGGCCATTTCCATTTTTGCCAAAAAGTGGACGTGGCTCGAATGTAGGTCAACTGGCGTGCTCCAAAATAGGATGTTCAAACCTCTCCCATAGGGGTAACAACTATATGCAATTTGAAACATGTGGGTCAAACGGTTCTTGAGTTATCGTTGACCGTAGCCAAATGTTGACGGACAGTCGTACGACGGACGACACCCCATGGCAATAGCTCATCTTGACGATGTCAAGGCGAGCTAAAAAGTTTAGACTAAAACGTTAACACTAATGTTTAAAAATTAAGACAAATATGTTCGTTCCTAACAACAGGGCCCCTGGTTGTCGTATTGCAGCAATACGTCACCTAGTAACGCACAACTCACCTGCTCACCTGGTAACGAAGGAAGATGACACCTGTTAACGAGGTGCACAAATCACCTGTTAACAAAGCAGATGACTCACCTGCTAACGAAGCAGATGACTCACCTGCTAACGAAGCTCACGACTCACCTGGTGATTGAGCAGACGTCGCCGGGAAGGTTGCGGCGGCAGGCCGTGCTCGTCAGGTACTCGAGCGGGTTGAGTCGGTACGTGTCGATCATGAAGTTACGGTAAGCCATGTAGACCTCGGGCGTCTTAGAGACGTTCTTCATGTTGAAGAACTCCGGTAGCGCCCTCTTCTCGATCGAGTGGATGCTGCGGGGGGCGAAGAAAAAAAACAAGTGGCGCAGAGGGTAGGGTGTTGAAGCGATTATTTCGTGAATGCGAAACGAGTTTATTTAAAAAAATGGAAAATTATTAAAAATAGTTTATTTAGAAAAGAAAAAAAATTTTAATACGAGAAAGGCAGTACTTGATTAAGTTACGGTAGAGACTGTTTTTAAATCTTTACATTAACGTGGAGTGGAATAGCTGATGTGCAGCAAGGTCTCGTATGGTGAACCCTCGTCTAACGGAGCCTCGCTTAACGAACTTCCGTATAACTCATCGATTCTAATCCATTAAACAATATCATCTTTTGATATAAGAGTAAATTTACTTCACTAATAGTCTATAAATCCACTTATTTAACCTGTTGGCAACCGTTTAACTCGTCGATTCTAATCCATTAAACAATATCAACCTTTGATATAAGAATAAATTTACTTGACTATATTTCCACGTATTTAACCTCTCAGCAACAACTGTTTTGACAACCGATCTCGCTGTCACTTCAGAGCCGAACAAAGTTTCGCAAGCTCATCACTAGATGGCAGCACGCGGCCACTGACCCGTTGTAGTCGAACCAGGACGTGTAGCTGGGCACGACGACGTGATTCGTCTGCTCCGTGAGATTGTCTTCTCCCTCCGAATCCTTCCCCTCATCCTCCTCCTTCACTCCTCCTCCTCCTCCCTCGTCTTCTCCCTTCGTTTCGTCTGCCTCAACCTACGGAGAAGGAGAGCAGTGGGTCGTTAGTTTCCATGTGCACGCGATCGGCTCATGCACACGCCAAGGAGCTAAATATAACAAGGAGAGGAAGCGGATTGGCTGTGTGCTTTTCGCCTCAAGGGCGCCATCTATGGACCATAATCAGCTGAAACGGCTGTGCAGACCGAACCCAGAAACAATAGAACACTAATCTGTTCTAGGGTCTCTGCCGAACCCAAATTTCTCTCTCTCTCTCTCTCTTCTCTCTCTCTCTCTCTCTTCTCTCTCCTCTCTCTCTCTCCTCTCTCTCTCTCTCTCTCTCGCTCATCTCTCTCTCTCTCTCTCTCTCGCTCTTTCTTCAGCTCTCTCTTCTTCTCTCATCTCATCTCTCTGCCCCCCCCGTCCTCTCTCTCCCTCTCTCCTCTCTCCTCTCTCTCTCTCTCTCTCTGCTCTCTCTTCTTCTCTTTCTCTCTTCCTCTCTCCTCTTCCTCTCTCTCTCTCTCTCTCTCTCTCCTCTCTCTATTCTCCTCTCTCCTCTCGATGCTCAGTTAGCCGAACTATTCTGTGTATAGTATGCCTGTGCGACTGAGCTAAATAATAACAAGGAGAGGCAGCGGCCGCCATATCTGGCCCTAATTTTTGCCATATTGGCCTAGAACAGATTAGTGTTCTATTGTCTCTGGGTTCAGTCTGCACAGCCGTTTCAGCTGATTGTGGTCCATAGATGGCGCCCTTGAGGCGAAAAGCACACAGCCAATCCGCTTCCTCTCCTTGTTAT